CTTCGGCTCAGGTTATGATCTCGCGGTTTGTGGGTTCGAGCCCCTTATCAGGCTCCGTGCTGACAGCTTGCTCAGAGCCTGGAGCCTGCTCCGGATTCTGTCTCCCTTTCTCTCTGCCCCTGCCCTGTTCACACTCTGTCTCTGTCTCTCTCAAAAATACATAAACATTAAAAAAAAAAAAAGTAAGTTATCTTTTTTTGGATTGCCAAGTATCTTTTATTATTTTTTTAATGTTTATTTATTTTTTTTGGGGGGGGGGAGGGTCAGAGAGAGGGAAACAGGCTCCAGAGAGAGGGAATCTGAAAGCAGGCTCCAGGCCCTGAGCTGTCAGCACATAGCCCAATGCGGGGCTTGAACCCACAAACAGTGAGATCATGACCTGAGCTGAAGTCCATTAACTGAGCCACCCAGGCACCCCACCAAGTGTCTTTTAACATATAAGTTGTACAATGTTATTTAAATGCATTTCCCATTTATTGAAATAATGAGTTTCTTTCTTTTGATAGGCTTATTTGGCAAGTTATTCTGATAGATAACTGTCACGTTAAATCATTCTTACATGCTGAAGGCAAAGCTACTTTGTCGTGGTGTATCTTTAGTCCCCCTAGTTTTCTAGTATTTTTTTTATAATCTCAGCATCCACATTTATGAACAGACTTGGTCTATAATTGTCCATTCCGTATCACCTTGTCTGGTTTGGGCATCAACTGCATACGAACTTCATAAAACAAGTTGTGTAGCTTTCCTTCTTTTTCTATTCTTTTGAACAGATTCTATAAAGATAATTTGTTCTGCAAAAGCTTGGTGAAATTTACCAACAAAATTTAATGAGCTTGGCTCAGTATTTTTGGGAGGGTGGGAGAAGGCTTTTAAAAATTCAACTTTCAGGGCACCTGAATGGCTCAGTCAGTTAAGCGTCTGACTTCGGCTCAGGTCATGATCTCACCGTTCGTGAGTTCGAGCCCTGCATCGGGCTCTGTGCTGACAGCTTGGAGGCTGGAGCCTGCTTCGGATTCTGTGTCTCCCTCCCTCCCTCTCTCTCTCTCTCAAAAATAAGTGTTAAAAAAAATTCAACTTTCTATCAGATTTTTCCTTTTTTAAAGATCACTTGGGAAAATTTATATTTCACTTCAAAATTATCCTTCTCAAATAGGTTTTCCAATTTACTGAATCTCATTAATGTGGCAAATCAGCCAGACACACACACACAAGTGTGGAGAAAAACTATCCTAACAAGAGCTAACCACAGCTGAGCTATAAAAAGGGGGTGGGGCGCTCCCTCAGAATCAGACACAAAGAAGAAAGTCAGAGGACTAAATGGGCACGCACCACCCACTGCGCCCTGGGGTGTGGCACCCAGTGCGGGCTGCGGCAGAACCGGGCTTTTGTGAGTGATCCAGGAGGGTGGACTTTGTGCAAGAGAGGGAAGGCAGCAGGATTAGCAGGATTGAATGGACCTGGGGCCCTGAGGCCCTGAAAGAGCTTCCCGGTGAAAATGGGACTAGGAAAGGTCAGCCGCTGAGGGAAGCTACAAGGAAACGTCTTCCTGCCTAGGTTTCTGGCTGACTGAAGTGTCCCAAGAGAAAACAGGACCTCAGGTATGGGCCCCACATGTACGCAACCCTGAGATTTCCCTGTAATAAAGTTCAAAAATAAGGGAAAATAAGAGACGGTAATCCCACCACTGGGAAGAAAATGCAAACACGAATTCAGAAACGTGCCCGCACGGCTACGCGTATTGTAGCGTCACTGGATGGACCTAGAGAGAATGAGGCCAAGGGAAGTGAGTCCCTCAGCTGACCAAGTCAGCGTTCAACCCATTTATCGTGTTCTTTCTTTCACCCGCTTCCTGCTGTGTTTCCAGCGCTCCCACTTCCCTGGCTCGTGCCCCTGGTGCCTCTGGAATTGTGTATCTGGAGAGGGAGTGGACGCTCTTCAAGGCAGGAAACCTGATCCTCGCTGACACTGCTCTCTTTCAAATGCGGGCTCTTTCTCTTAATCGCTTAGACTTTAAGATGTGTGTGTGTGTGTGGGGGGGAGGGGTGGCGGTGGGAAGAAACATGCATTTACCTGCTCCTTAACCTCGTGGGGCCTCACTGCCAACACGGTATTGTGTTGCTGCCTCCGGCCAGGCTGGGCTGTCCCCATGGGCAAAGGCAGGAGTGACGGTCCATTCAGGCCCATTCGTGGCATCCGGCTCTCTTCCTCTCGGACCTACCGTGCTCCCCACGTGGGACCTTACCCTCTTGCCACCCCAGGGGCTTCTTACCATTTCTGTTAGTTTGGGGGATCCAGAATTGGGTTTCAGAGACAGCGTTGGGAGCCCGGCCTAATTAGCCATCTCCTCGGGAAGCAGCGGAACCGGTCTGGGGAGGCAGGCTTCTGACACCAGGGGCCGTGCTGTCAGCGATAATGCTACACGGTCTCCAGAGTTTTTTGCTCTCACCCAACATGTTTTACTACTCTCCAGGTTTACACCTGTGCATGATTACAGCTTTTGCCGAGGATTCCGGACACACTTCCCTCCCTTATTTCCATCTCTAAGAATCCTTAAAGCCACAGACAAGCAAAGCATTCTTCCCTCAGAAAGACCCTCTTGGAATTCCTTATCCTCGTTTTCCACGTGACCCACCAACATATGTACGACATTAGTTTACGTCACCGATATGCCCCTTTGTTAGTGATTTTTAGTTTCTTCCGTGTGTGTCTGGTTCAAATAGACTGAAAATTCCTGGGCTTCCTTTCTCTGTTTTCTCTTGTAAAATTTAATAGAAGGTGATAAATAGTTGGCATTAAGTGACACACAAGACCATTGATGTGACTTAGAAGGGGAAAAAGCTCACATTTTCCAAAGCCTCCATTTTCACTCATGAACTCAAAGAAGGCATCGAGAATCCTGCAGAGAGTTGTGACCACTGCTAGGTCCTGTACAGGAAACGGCTGACATGTCTGATGCTTCTTTATAAACTGTAGTCCGTCTGTGACGCTATTTTTAATCAAGAATTCAAGACAACTCACTCCTGTTTGACTCATAATTTTAGAAGTCTTCAACAGCCATGACTTGACATAGGGCTCCCATCCCAGATCAACAGGATCCTAACAATATAAAGCACAAGGTAATTTTACGTAAATAAGGAAAAATGAGGCGTCCATCCTCCTCCTTACTATCTTTACTTCACCTCCGCCCCCAGCAAAACACAGCATCATCACTCGTCAAAGGGCAGCTGATCAAGACCTTGAAGAAGCACCTGTCTCTGAGACGACTTACGGTTTTAACCCTGGTCTTACAAGACAACACATGGTGGGGGACTGTGTGTAGGGAGGGGTTGGGGGGGAGGCTACGTGTACCCAGCAAGGGGAGCGGCTTAGCCAGAAAAGCAGCGCTGTTCTTAGCTTCGTTACAGCGAGTTCAGCGGATCAGAACACAGGGCCAACCATGGCTAACGATTAATTTCATGGAGAGAAGACACTTAATCTTTGTGTGCCTTCCATCTCCCACCACTGTCTTGGCAAAATATACTTCACGGGCCCTCAGGGTCACAGGCAGGTGAGGAAAGGTGTCTCTCCTCTGTGGGAAAGACAAGTCACCAGCAGCCTGTGCTGTCCATCGAAAGCACCGCTCACAGTTGTGGGACACCTGCCACCCCAATTACTGGGTCGTCCTCCTTTAAACAGGAGAGACTACGCTTTCACTCCTGGGTTAGGAGACTTGAGGGGACACAAAACCCTGCCAGATCCAGAGGTAATCATAAAACAATCATCAGGAACGCTGTAGGTAATGACTAGTTATTACCCTTATTACCCTAAACAACACGTTTTCCTTGAGACGTTTGTTTTTGGGAACTTACCATGTAGACCATTGCACACCGGCTGACGGTTGCAGGACTGGCCTGAGAGAGACTGTCGGTCTCAAAAACCACTCGTATGTTACTAGTTAAGGCTATTCGCTCACTGTTTGCCAGACACAGCGTTCTAGTATCATCCAGCATGGAGTTTAGATTTTCTACCCAAAACGTATCCACTGGACCATCCAAAATAATCCACTGCCAATCGTGGTCTGGAGAGAGAAATATTTTTAACATAACAGAGTATCTCAGTCTTCTTGTATTACAATTTTACAAATTCCCTATTTTGTTTGGAAAATATTTTCTAACAAGGTGAAAAATGACACCCTAGAGAATAGCAGAGTGAATGTGTTCATGTGTAGTCTCTAACATGTTAGGTAGAAATAACTACTCGCACCACAGGCTTAACCACCCTTCAAACCCGGCCCACATTCTCTGATTGCTGCTTGTGTAGTCGGCCCTTACATTTGGGGAAGAGCAAGACCCTGGATCTGTCTTTCCCATAATCATGTGCTTGGTGTGCTCCCCGTCCACCCAGGATACTTTCTGGACATGCTGCCTCTGGGGGACAGAGAAGGGAAGTAGACAAATAGAGTTGTTTGCGCTGTGGCCCCACTGGCTCCTCTTTCCATGTTCTATGCGCACCAACCTGCTCCTCAGTTCTAGGAAATCTGTCGGGTCAAGACAGGGGAGGAGCGTGTGGGTCACCGTGCAGACGGAAAATAGTTACCGCCTGAAGGACATTAAAGGATCCCAGGGCCAGGACCAAGAGGCCGGGATGCTAAGTCAGCGGCGGCCATACTTGCCTCCAGGCCTGTCTTAGAACCCCCGGAAGGCACCTGCTCTGCCCGCAGACCACACTCCCCAACCTGAATGCGGGAGAAGGACACACAGACATTCAGGAATTCTAAATCAGGACAAGCGAGAGCAGAAGTCTCTTTCCGGGCCTGGAACATAAGCGTCCGGCTGGTGCCTGTGGTGCTCGAGGCTCAGCCCGGAGCAGTGAGCTGATGGGGCTCCGGCCGGGACCCTCACCTCCTCCGGAGCAGGCGCCTTACCACACGCTCTCTGTGCCCCGCCTCCTCGCACCCCGCACCGCACACCCACGCCACAAAGCAGCACACGATGGATGCGTAGTTCTGTTTAGACGCGTGTGTACGGGCTGTGTTATTTGGGCCGGGAGCGTCCGCAGGCTTCCACCCAAGACTTCTCTCTACTTGAACGTCTGCTTGCTTCTTGTGAGATATTAATGTCCGTTTATAAGCTGAAAGGGCCGTGCACGACCTACCGCTTCAGCGCCATAATTATGTATGTAGGTAGGATGCTATAACATGCGGTAAACACGCACGTACATAAATTTTAAGTGAGGGAAAAATAAACAGTATAGGAACAAAAATCAACATTTTTAAAGATATAGATTCAGCTCATTTGTTCAGTTTCTTCCCTGTTAATGAATCATCTTTACTGAATTTAATAGTAACACTTACTCTGACTTTCTGGGATTTTAACATCTTTCTCCATCTCCTGCTTAGAAATGTTATCGTCAATATCTGCTATATCAGAGGAATCAAGTTTGAAAACCTAAAAGAGGTAATCAATAATGTTTATTTCATCACACTTTCCAACTCAAACATGTCAATATGCTGAGTACTATAATAGAAAAGGCACACATTCTGTGGCTGAAAGACCTCCCTGTAACCAGCACAGGGTGGCTTAGCTGAGTTGTGAGTACAGGCCATTTTCTTCTAGAAAATTCTTTCAGTTTTTTTTTCCAGTTAGTACATGTTTGTTGTACAGCATTAAAATAATGCCATAAAGCAAGAAAGCAAATGTTCTCTGAATTCCCACCATCTATAAAGAAACTGTTGATATTTCAGTATATATATTTTCCTAGACCCTCCTTCACAGTAGTTTTAAAATTTGGGGGTAACACACTAAAATGTTAAATGTTTCTAAAATGTAATAACATTTTAGAAATATAAAGTACTATGGTTTTCTTCCCAGATTTCTTAAAACTCTTGGAACATTTGTGCTTCCAAATGAACTTTACAATCATTTAATTCAATTTTTTTAATTGGGATTTTGCTTGGAAAGACACTATATACATATATTAATTTGGTATAGGTTGGCATTTTTAGGATGGAAGTCCTTTTATACAGGAATAGAGTATATCTTCCATTTATTCAATTTTTGCCAACTGCACAGGCATCCCTGCCCCCCTCCCCTGCCCCCGTCCCTGCCATCCTGCTATGACAAGTTCCTTTCTTGTACATTTTTCCAATATAGTTTTCATAGTGGCATCACTGTTAGAATTTTTCCCATTTCCATTTCTAACTGGTATAATTAGTGAATTGTATCATGTTCCTTCTCTGTCAATTACTGAGGAAGATGTAATAAAATCTCACACTAGCTTTGCATTTGTCAATTTCCCTATGAAACTGACGTACATGTTTACCTTATGTCACAGGCACATAATAGCCCAGAACTGCCATCTTTTTCTGCACCAAGAGCACACTGTTTTCCCCTAATTTTATAATAATTCTTGACATCTGGCAGATCTCATCACCCAAATTCTTCCCTTTTTTTAAATTCGGGAATGTCATGGCCCTTGGTTCTTCTATATACATTACAGAATCAGTTTGCCAAGGTCTTAAAATCGACTTTAATTTTCTATTTCAAAACTCAGGGCAAAGCTCTAGTTTTCAAGTGTGGCGTTAGCGTAAGGGCAGATATGAAGATGAATGGAACAGAACTATGAGTCCAGAAATAAATCCCTACATTTATGATCAGCTGATTTTGACATGGGTGACAAGACAATACAAGCAATGGGGGAAAGAATAGTCTTTTTTTTTTTTTTTTAAGAATAGTCTTTTCAACAAATAATTCTGGAACAACTGAACTGGGATCCCTGCCTTGTACTGTCCACAAAAAATCAACTCAAAATAGACTAAAGACCTAAATGTAAAACTTAAAACTATAAAACTCTTAGAATAAAACTTAAAAGAAAGTCTTTGTGACCTTGAATTATACAAAGCTTTTTAAAGCTATGATATCAAAAAAAAAAAAAAAAAAAAAAAAAAAACAGGTGACAAGGTAAAAAGTAGACTGAACTTCATCAGGGTTGAAAACTTTGGTGTTTCACAAGATACCTTCAAGAAAGTAAAGACAGCCCACAAAATGAAAGAAAGTGTTTGCAAATCATAGTCCCTGATAAGGGACTTGTATCCAGAATATATAGGTGTGTGTGTGTGTGTGTGTGTGTGTGTGTGTGTCCATGATATAAATACTTTTATGGATTAGAAGACTCAATGTTGTTCTTTTTTTATATTAATTCCAGTGTCGTTAACATACAGTGTTACATTAGTTTCAGTCTATAACATAGTGATTCAACAATCTATACATTATTCATATGTAGTATTTAAGAAACAAATGAGCAAAGGGGGAAAAAAGAGAGGGAGAGAGAGACAAACCAAGAAACAGACTCTTGACTACAGAAAACACACTGCTGGTCACCAGAGGGGAGGTGGGTGAAACAGGTGACGGGGATTAAGGAGTGCACCTGTGAGCATGAGCATCAGGTGACCTATGGAAGTGCTGAATCACAATATTGTAACCTGAAGCTAATATTATACTATGTTAACTACAATTTAAGTAAAAACTTAAAAAAAAAAAAACTCTGCTTATCTGTTTGGTTCTAAATGTCATTCTTCTGTTAATATAGTTTGGCTAATGAAATTTACTAGTAAGCTCTATAACTAATGAGAATACAAGTCTTCAAAAGTTTTTTGCTATTTATGTTTATTCTACGATGAACTTTGTATCAAAAGCTTTATTCGCTTTTCCACTGAAGTGTTTTCGTAGCTCATTAATTTGTAAGGTGTCCTGGTGGTGCTAGATTCACTAGAGCAACCCCCACTAACACCTCATCCCCTGTGTTCCTTTAAAAGCAAGTATCTTTCATTTTATTGTTTACCAACCATTTTAAAACGCAATGACATATTTTCTGTTGTTTTTCATAGCTTATAATTTTTCTTTTTAAAAACTGATTATAATAACTTTTAAATTTACTTTTATACTGGTAAGTATCTAATAATGCTTAAATACCAATTTTTAATCAATGAAGTAATCCACAGAGTCAAATAATAATAATCCTTCCACATGAACTTACATTAGATGCATCCGAGATTCTTGATTTCAGTCCAAGATCGCTGTCTTTTTTTGAGTACCTTGCAGTATTAGAATATACATAATTTCGAACTGTGCTTGATAATAATCCATCAGTCCATTCCATACTGTTAGGGTCCAGTTGTCCATATAGTTCACTAAGAGTGATACACTTTGGATTTAAAACACAAATATCTACCTTTCCTTTTCTTCCTGGAACCTGAACAAAATCCAGTGTGGTTTCTTAAAAGCATCAGCCAGAGTATAATTATTTACATTTTTGCGCTATTAACACCAAAGGGTTTTAGGAGAGGTTTTTCACTCCAAAGAAAGATACCCGATAAAGACAGTAACTTAAATTTTAAAAAGGACAGCAATTTAAAAAGGACAGTAACAATTGACTTTTTAAAATTAGCCATAATATTCAAATCACTACTTTAAAAATTCTAAATACTATAATGATATCTCTGGAAGAAATGGGGGAAAAAATCCCACTGGTCCTCATCCAGGAACACAACATATGAACTGGGATGTGGTGTGTCTGGAGTCAGGGCTAGACATATGGATGCGGGAGAGCAGAAGACAGTTTTTAGCTGCAGGTCAGAGCTGGCACCCAAGAAGACCTTGTCTGCTACCTTCTAGCCTGCCTGGGGGCTGCCTGCAGGACCGGTGTCCGTTCCACCAAACTCAGATCTCAGGTGGGAAAAGAGTCAGGCACTTCTTGTGAAGGCTTCAGGGAGACTACAGACCCACAAAAGCCTAAAACCAGACCTTATGGATGAATTCAAGCAACAGACCATATATAGCCTGAGGGAGACACTAGGGTAGGAGGAATTTTTAGGAAACTAAGACACTCAAGTTAAGCTGTGTAGCCAGTGGAATGGTGAAAGTCAAACTGTGAAAGTCCAGTCAAGATGCATTGCCCAGAAAAAACTTGAGAAGACGTTAAACTTTCATCTCAGAGAGGAGACCCCGCTAATCAGTGAGGAACAACCCCGTGACAGAGCAGCTTTGTAAAGACTGGGAAAGGTGGCTGTTTTTATAAATGCCCCATTTTCAACAAATATCACAAGGCATGTAAAGAAACATAAAAACTTGGCCCATTAAAAAGACAATAAATTGACAGAAACCATCCTGGATGAAGGTTAGTCTGAAAAGAAGCCATAAAAATAACTCTCAGTTGAGCTTTCTCCCTAAAATCAAGAACAAGACAAGGATGGCCAGCCACTCTCACCACTTTTATTCAGCCCAGTACTGGAAGTCCCAGCCACAGCAATCAGACAAGAAAAAGAAGTAAGAGGCATCCATACTGGTAGAAAGGAGGGCATTATTTGTAAAAGACATGACATTATACATAAAAAATCCTAGATTCCACCAAAACTTGTCAGAAATAATACATGAATTCAGTCAAGTTGCAGGATACAAAATTAATACCAAGAAATAGTGTTTCTATACACTAATAATGAAGTAGCAAAAGAGGAATAAAAAAAAACCAACAACTACCATTTGTAACTGCACCAAAAAGAATAAAATGCCTAGGGATTAAACTTAACCGAGGAGGTAAAAGACCCATACTCTGAAAACTATAAAACAATGATGAAAGAAACTGAAGATGACACATAAATGGAAAGATATTCCATAGTCACGAATTGGAAGAACAAATATTGTTAAAATGTTGATACTACCCAAAGCAATCTAAAGATTCGATGTGATCCTTATCAAAATACCAATACAATTTTTTTCACAAACCTAGAACAAACAATCCTAAAATTTATATGGAACCACAATGACCCTGAATAATAGGCAAAGTAATCTTGAGAAAGAACAACAAAGCTAGAGGTATCACAATTCCACACGACAAGCTGTATTCTAAAGCTGCAGTAATCAAAACAGTATGGTACTGGCACAAAAATAGACACATAAATAAAACAGAACAGGGAGCCCAGAAGTTAATCCACACTTATATGGTCAATTAATCTATGACAAAGGAGACAAGAATATATAATGGGGAAAAGACAGTCTCTTCATTCAATGTGCTGGAAAAATTGGACAGCTACATGTAAAAGAATGAAAGTGGACCACTTTCCATCACCATGAACAAAAATAAACTCCAAATGGATTAAAGACCTAAATGTGAGACCTGGAACCATAAAAAAACCAGAAGAGAACCACAGACAGTAATCTCTCGGACACTGGCCATGTCAACATTTTTATAGATGTGTCTCCTAAGGCAAAGGAAACAAAAGCAAAAATAAACTATTGGGATTACATCCAAATGAAAAGCTTTGTGCACAGTGAAGGAAATCAACAACAAAACAAAAGGGCAACTTTATGTTTTAATTTTAATATTTCCTCAGTGGGAGAAGATATTTGCAAATGATATACCCAATAAAAGGTTACTATTCAAAATATATAAAGAACTTATACATCTCAACACCAAAACAACCCAAACAATCTGATTAAAAAATGGGCAGAAGACCTGAATGGACAATTTTCAAAAAAAGACCTACAGATGGCCAACAGACACAGGAAAAGATGCCCAATATCACTCATCATCAAGAAAATACAAATTAAAACCACAGTGAGATACCATCTGTCAACTATTATCAAAAAAGACACACACACACACACACACACACACAAAACCCAAACCCCACAAACGAGTGTTGGCAAGAATGTGTAGAAAGGGAACCCTTTTGCACTCTTGGTGGGCATGTAAATTGGTGCAGCCACTACGGAAAACAGTATGGAGTTTCCTAAAAAAATAAAAAAAAAAACACCTAAAAATAGAACTACCATACGATCTAGCAATTCCACTCCTTGGTATCTATTTGAAAGAAAACAAAAACACTAATTTGCTATATGCACCTCCATGTTAATTTCAACATTGTTTACAATGACCAAGATACAGAAGCTAGCTAAACGTCCACTGATGGACGAGTGGATAAAGATGTGATGTGTACACACACATGCACACACCCACGCACATGATGGAATCCTACTCAGTCATTAAAAAAGAAAGAAATCTCTCCATTTGTAACAGCATGGATAGATCGTGCGGTTATGCTCAGGAAATAAGTCAGAGAGGGAAAGACAAACACCACATGATTTCACTTATATGTGGAACCTAAAAGACAAAACAAACCTGAGACTCACAGATGCAGAGACTATACTGGTGGTTGCCAGAGGGGAAGAGTATTGCTAGAGGGGCCAAAATAGGTGAAAGGAATTAAGAAGTAAAAATTCCAGCTATAAAATAAGTAAGTGATGGGGCTGCAATGCACAGCATGGGAGTATTGTCAGCAATCCTGCATTAATTGTGTGCGACAGATGGTAACTAGACTAGTGGTGATCATTTCACAGTGTACATAAAAGTCAAATCACTAGGTTGTACACCTGAAGCAATATGATATTGTATGTCAATAATACCTCAATTAAAAGGAAATAATTATTAAACAAAAAAGACACAAATAAATAATATCAGAAATAAAAGTATGAACATTACTAGCGCCTTAAGGAAATTAAAAGGATTATAAGAGAACACCAGGAGCAAATTACATAATCCACGGGCTACAAATTCCTAGAAATAACAAAAATTACCAAAAGTGACTCAAGAACAAGTAGAAAATCTCAACAGATTTGTAACAAACAGAGATTGAATTAGTAACCCAAATCTCTAAGAAAGTCCAAAATCAGATGGCAGATGAATTCTACGAAACACTTGAAAAATGATTAACACCAATGCTACTCAAACTCTTGCAAAAAATAGAAGAGGAGGGAATGCTTCTTAACACATTCTATGAGGCCAGAATTACCCTGATATTAAACCCCCACAAAGATACCATAAGGAAGCTACAGACAGACATCCCTTATGAATACAGATGCAAAATTCTCCAGAAAGTGCTAGCAAACAGAACACAACAACACATTAAGGGATTATTCACTCAGACCAAATGAGATTTATTTCAAGAATGGAGGGGCAGGTTCAACATAAGACAATCAATGTAATATATCATGTTAATATAACAAAAGAAACAAACCACATAATCATATGAAGAGAGGCAAAAAAGCATTTTATAAAATTCCAGACCCTTTCAGGAGAAAAACACTCAAACTAGAAATAGGAAGGCACTTCCTTACTGTGATAAGGGCTATTTGTGAAGAACCCACAGCTGACATCACACTCAGTGGTGAAAGACTGAAAACTTTCTCCCTCAAGTCAGGCACAAGGCAAGACTTCCCATTTTCACCACAGCTATGAAACACTGTACTGTAAGTCCTAGCCTGGTAATTAGGTGAGGAAAAAAAGTAATAAGCATCCAAATTGGAAAGAAAGAAGTGAAGGTATCTCTATTGAAATATCACATGATTCCATATACGGAAAATCCCAATGAATCTACAAAACAACTACTAGAGCTAATAAATGAACCAGCATGTCTATAGGGTACAGGATCAACATACAAAAACCAGCTGCGTTTATATATAGCACCAACGAACCCACTTCAACACAACAAAAAAATAATTAAGAAAGCAATTCCATTTATAGTAGCATCCAAAGAAAAAAATGCTTTGAAATAAATTTAATCAAGGAGGAGAAAGACTTACCTATTGAAAACTACAAAAAAGAAAAAAATTTTCTTACTTACTAACAATGGACCTAAAAATGGAAAGACATCTTATGTTTGTAAACTAGAAAACCTAATATTGTTAACATGGTAATATTCTCTAATGTAATCTACAGATACTTTGTAATCCCTATGAATGTTCCTATGGCCTGTTTTGCAGAAAAAAGAATGGGATAGGCAATTCATATGGAATCCAAGGGGGCCTCAAATATCCAAAATAATACTAAAAAACAAAAACAAACCCCCCCAAAAAAAATCAAAGAGGACTCATACTTCCCAACTTCAAAACTTACTAGAAAACTACAATAATCATAAAAAAAAATAATAAAAAAAAAAAGAAAACTACAATAATCAAATTATATATATCCTGGGACAAGGACACACACAGGACAATGGAATAAAACTGGGAGTCCAGAAACAAACGCAAACATCTATGGCCAACTGATTTTTTATAAATTATTTTAAAGAGAAAGAGAGACCAGGAGCAGGGGAGAGGGGCAGAGAGAGAGAATCTTAAGCAGGCTCCTCACTCAGCACAGAGCCCAATGCAGGGCTCTATCCCACAACCCTGAAATCAGGACCTGAGCTGAGATCAGGGGCCAGATGCTCAGCTGAGCTATCCAGGCATCCCTATGGCCAATTGATTTCTGACAAGAATGCCAACACCATTCTATATGGAAAAGAATAATAATTTCATTAACGAACGGAAACTGGATATCCACATGCAAAAGAATGAAGTTGGACCCCTACTTCACTCCATATACAAAAAATTAACTCCAAATAGATGGGTTCCTTCAGTTTAAGAACTAAAAGTACACAATTAGTACAAGAAAACATGGGGGTAAATCTTCACGGCTTTGAATTTGTAAACGGATTCTTGGATTGGATGGCAAAAGCACAAGCAATAAAAGAAAAAATAAATTGGACCCGATAAAAATCAACGGCCTTAGTGCGTCAGAGGACATTACCGAGAAAGCAAAAAGGCAACTCACAGAACAGGAAAAAATATTTGCAAATCGTGTATTTGATAAGGGCTTCATGAGCACAATATATAAAGAATTCTTCCAACTCAACAACAAAAAGGACAATCCAATTATAAAATGGACAAAAGATGTGAATAGATGTTTCTCCGAAGAAGATCCACAAATGGCCTGTAAGCACGTAAAAGGGTGTTCGACATCTATCAGTAATTAAGAAAATGCAGATAAAACTGCTACAAGATACCACTTCACATCCACTAAAATGGAAAAAAACAAAGACAAGTGTAGGTGAGGATCTGGAGAAAGCGGGAAGCTTCGTTACAGTGCTGGTGGTAATTTAAAATGGTTCGGCTGCTGTGGAGAAGAGTGTGGTGCTTCCCCAGAAATGTAAACAGAACTGGCGTATGACCCAGCAAGTCCACTCCTAGGCACAGATGTCCACGTAAAATGAAAACATATACCCACATAAAAGCTTGTACACAAATGTTTGTAGTGACATTATTCATAACAGCTAAAAGGTGGAAACAACTCAAATATGCATCAAAGGAGGAACAGATACATTGTGATGAATGGATCGACAAAGATTCCACAAAATGGACCATTATTCGGTCATGAAATGGAATTAAGCAGCGACACATGCTATACCTTGAATGAACCTGAAAAACATATGCTAACTGAAAGCAGCCAGAGACAAGAGGTCACATGCTGTGATTCCTTTTACACAAAACAGTCTGAACAAACAAATCCATAGAGACAGGAAGCCGCCCAGCGGTTTCCAGAGAATAGAGAGAGAAGGTAATGGGGAGAGATTTCTTAATGGATACGGGGTATTCTCCTGCAGTGATGAAAGAGTTTTGAAAGCAGAGAGAGGTGGTGACTGCACAACACTGTGAGTGCACGAAATGTCACTGAACTGCACACCTTGAAGTGGCTAATTACATGATATGTGAGTTTCACCTTCAATCTCACCTCACAGTAGGTAGCGAAATTATACCTTACTGCAAACCAATCCCATTCCTAGAGAGACATTTTCAAGGGATACACCTATACAAGGACCCACAGTAAACACATTACAGGGTTCCGATGATGAAGAGGGAAGAGAGGGTAAGGTTAGGAAATAAAGGAAACGAAACTGCACTAAAAGAAACTAAAGAGAAGGCCTTGAAGAGACTAATGAGGAAAAAGCCACGAACTAAGGAGGAAAATAAAAAAAATTTCCATTACCTAAGGCCCTGTCACCAACCTAAATATTTTATTGTCATTACATTTTTAAAAACACCAAATTTAAAAATGTTACGCATGAGAGAATTATAAATAAATGATAGTATAGTCATGTGTACAGAATACAGTCACTGAAATCACACTGTAAGAAAATTTTAATGACATGGGGTTAATTCGCAGTGTACGGTATTAGGTGAAAATGCCAACATTAATAAAATTGAGGTAATTTATACGCAGTACTATCTCAATTATTTTAAAATATATTTTGTGTAGGAAAAATAATCAAAGGGAATACAGCAATGTTTGTAGTCATTCTCTGTAGGTGGTTATTAATTCTTTATGTTTTTGCATTTTCCCCAAGTTTCTCACAATTGTACATACTTCTTATGTAATTTAAAAAATGTTTTTAATAAAACAAATTCCTGCCCACAGGGCTATTGTGAGGACGAATGAGACAATTCAACTAAAAGTGCTTTAGCCAGTATCTGACTCATATTTAGTATTTCATAAATATTATTACTACTGTCATAGCTCACCTCTTATTAATGACAATAATTGGTTAAGAACTAATTCAGACTTGTTGACAGGGAGGTAGAAAGAGAACAGAACAAAGGCTATGAACCACCACAGGCACAATTTTGAAGCAGGGAATTGCACACTAACTGAAAAAAAAAAATCCACAAAACTGAGAACTTGACTTTCTAAAACTTTTGGAATATACTGCCAATGGGTCTTTACAAACATCTTTTTTTTTTTTCAACGTTTATTTTTGGGACAGAGAGAGACAGAGCATGAACGGGGGAGGGGCAGAGAGAGAGGGAGACACAGAATCGGAAACAGGCTCCAGGCTCTGAGCCATCAGCCCAGAGCCCGACGCGGGGCTCGAACTCACAGACCGCGAGATCGTGACCTGGCTGAAGTCGGACGCTTAACCGACTGCGCCAACCAGGCGGCCCCCAACGGGTCTTTAAATAAGAGAACTGAAGTACACGTTATTTATTGGAATCTAACTTTATATTAAATAAAATATCACTCAGCCATCAAAAAGAACGAAACCTTGCCATTTGCAATGACGTGGATGGAGCCAGAATGTATTCTGCTAAGCGAAATGAGTCAATCAGAGAAAGACAAATACCATGGGATTTCACTCATATGTGGAATTTAAGAAACAAAACAGATGAACATATGGGAAGGGGGGGGGAAGAGAAGAGAGGGAAACAAACGACAAGAGACTCTTAATGAAAGAAAACGAACTGACAGTTGATGGAGGGAGGTGGGTGGGGGTGGGCTAGATGGGAGATGGGTATTTCTTTTTAAATTTTTTTTTTAACGTTTATTCATTTTTTGAGAGACAGAGAGAGACACAGTGTGAGTGGGGAAGGGGCAGAGAGAGAGACAGAGAATCCGAAGCAGGCTGCAGGCTCCAGGCTCTGAGAGCACAGAGCCCGACTTGGGGCTCAAACCCACAAACCGTGGGATCTTCACCTGAGCCAAAGTCAGATGCCCAACTGACTGAGCCACCCAGGTGCCCTGATGGGGGATGGGTATTAAGGAGGACACGTGTTGTGATGAGCACTGGGGTATTGTATGTAAGTGATGAATCACTGAATTCTACTCCTGAAACCAATGTTGCACTGTACGTTAACTACAATTTAAGTTAAAAAAAAAAATACATATATCATGAAAAAGTGGGAGTTATTCTAGGAATTCAAGGACAATTTAACATTAGCAAATCTATCAACATAACTTATTACATTAACCAATTACAACATAACAAAATAGATTCTAAAAAATCCTACAATAGATTCTAAAAAATTACTTCATAAACCCCAAAAAGTCAAAAACCAAAGTATAATGAGAATGGAAGAAAATTTCCAAAGTATGAAAGAGTATCTATCATACACCAAGAGCAAATACCATATTAAATGTAGAAATATTAACTGCATTTCAGATAAAGTAAGGAATAAGATACTATTATGGTTAACGTTGTTTTGGAGGGTTAATCAATGCAATAAGAGTATAAACTATATAAATAATACAAAAGAGACAAAATTATATTCACTGAAGATGATTCAATTGATCATCTATAAAAACAATTACAACTTACCATTACCAGTCCATTAAGGTGACTAAATACAAAATAAATATACAATTCGCTACATTTATTTTACACTAGTAATTACTAGTTTGAGATTCAAATGAAAAAAATGTCCCATTTACTACAATGATTCCTAATTATAAGATTCCCAGCAATAAATTTTAATAAGAATATACTTATATAAATAGGATATAAAATGTTACTGAAGTATAAAGATCTGAAGAAATAGAGAAACATTTGGTTAGTACACAATTTACCTGTGAAATAGATTCGCTTTCTTTAGTTGATAGGAAGTCTTCAATTGGTAATAGTGTTAATGCTCTTTCTAAAATTCTTCTGACTGTTGTTTTTCCTCCACCTGTTGGGCCTACTAACATCACACCAACACAAGTCTAAAACAAAATTGCAAATTTATGATTTAATTTTGGTTTACTGATGGTTCAGCTAAATGAAAATCTGAAGGTTCTTATTTACAAATACATCTTGATATGCACAAACCCTTCCTTCAAATTATTGTTCAATCTCTTGTAATCTGTGTTCTGTTTTCATTGACTAGGTTAATGTTAAAATGTACAGAGATCTCCTAATTTTCAAATTCAAAGCATAACTGTCAATTCTTATTTTTGACACTTTGTCTTACTTTCCTATTCTCCTTTATTTCTGTACCTTTCTCGAAGATTGGTTTCTGTAATATGTTTTCTCTCAGCTTTCCTCTTCTGAATTTTTTTCTCTTTTGAGTTTTGAATGCCATTTCCGTGTTAGTCTTCCCTAATTCATCCTTTTCCCTCTCTCTCTCTCTCTCTCTCTCTCTCTCCCCCCTACATTGGCCCTATCCTGTCTCATCAACTTGAATATCTCTAACTACAACCTGAGTTCTAATGACTTCCTAATGTACGCATTTCTTCCAGTCTCTGGTTCTGTGTGCCTGAGTGAAATTTTGGTAGTTTACTGTATATTTCCATCTGGATATCTCACAAGATTTTCAGAGTCAACATAATCTACTCTACACCTTCTTTTCACACTTGTCACTTCTCTTATTTCCTGATCTAGTAAATAAAATCACTAGCTGTACATTGTCCAAAGTCCTCAGCTCTTATAAAATCTGCTTGATTCCATCTTCTTCTCCAACCCAATCACAATCGCTGTTATAGAGTGAAAGTCTGTGAATGTCTGTGTCTCCCTAAAATTCAAATGTTGAAGCCCACACCCAATGTGATAATGTTGGAAGTGGGGCCTCTGGTAGGTAATTAGGTTTAGATGATGTCATGAGGGTGGGTCTGTGATGGGATTAGTGTCCTTAGAAAGAGAAGCAGAGAGACCAGTTCCGTATCTCTCCACTATGTGAGGACGCAGTGAGAAGGTGGCCACCTGCAAGCCAGAAGAGGGCTCTCACCAGAAACCAAACCTGCTAACACTTCTATCTTAAACTTTCCAGCCCCTAGAACTGTGAGAAATAAATGTGGCTTAAACCGCCCGGTCTATGGTATTTTGTCACATCCTCCCAGAAGGACTGAGCCAAGGGGGAAAGGGTCAGATGGTGAAGCTCGCCCTCTTCTAGACTACTGTAATAGTGGTAAAGGAAGGATTATTTTTAATAATGCATCACACACATACATTAAAATTCAAATATGGATGAAGCTAAAACATTTTTTCCCTTCCATTCCAATCTCTTTATCCTCATGGAGGAAAATAAATACCAGACCACTTAAAAATGGAAAGTGCAAATATCAGAAACTTTTAGAAAAAATTATAGAAAATATCTTTATGAAATAGGATAGAAAAGATTTCTAAAAATTCAGAAAAACACAAACCATAACAACAAATCAATAGACTTTACTGCATTAACAACAACGTCTCCTGCACAACTGAACTCTAGGAACATTTCTGAAAACCCAAGACTTTGAGAATTTATTTGCAACACATATAAACAATTAAGAAATAGGACATAAAATGCATAATGAAAAGCCTACACGTTTGGTAAGAAAAAGACAAGAAACTCAACTGAGAAATGAGTACATTACATAATCTGGCAATTCACAGGACACTCAAATGGCAAGTAAATATAGACAAAGGCATACAGTTTTACCAGTCATCGATGAAATGCATCACCGTTTCCAAATGGTTCATTCACAGGGATAGGAAATTCAAAGAAGGTGTAGTTATGGAAGGCCACATTTATACCACATATGTGGGGTTTTTTACAATTATGTATTAAGGGGATGAAGGTGAAGAAAATGAATCTGTTCAAAGTTAAAGTGAGGGCTGAATAACCACGCGTGGGTAAATAAATGAGTAAGCCACTTTACTCTGAAGAACATTAGACTAGTTCTCTTTTATCGTTATCCTGGTTTTCTCCTTGATCAGACCTATTATAATTCAGGAGCAAAGAAGTGCCAACATGCCATTCTACACTTACCTGAAGTTGATTATAAAACTGTATGGTTTTCTTGTTCTGAGCTGGCCACTGATGGAAACCCAACTGTTGTGTTGCAATAGACACTACTTTCTAAAAGGAAATAAATACGTTTAAAATGCATTGCAAATTGAACCCTTAATACATAATCCTATAAAATCTCTCTTAACCAGGTACTGAATACTGCACTTTAAGATAGTAGTTCTTAATTTCTTAGTTCCTCAACCTGATTATTACTTTCCCCCCAAACTACGATACACACAAAATTTTATGTTGACAGATCCCTGGTAGCAGATTCATAGACCTTCCCTCAATTTAGGAATTTATTCTTTAGGATGTATTTAAGAACTATCTGTTACCATAGTACGATTGTCTAATTATCCTACACTAAAAGAAAATTTAAGAGTCTCTATCTTTGTGTAATTCCAATCACCATTAAGGTAGATTTTCAGCTCTGTAACAAGTATTTTAATGTTTCCGTGTTCAGAATATTCTAGGATAGTAAGTACAATTTGTTAAGATTGAAGACTTGATGTGGTTATATATTAAAACATCCAGAAGTGGCTGCAGCTTGGAAAGATGCTTAATATTATAACACAGGAATTATGAGGGCAGCCAGGTTTCCTTCCACAGTGGGGTCAATACTATTGGTAATTGTCGACAGAAAAGAGCGGGATTTATCCTTTTTCTCACCGACCTCTCCCAGTCCATTTCCCATTCCTTGCATTCCCACAGTGGGACAAGGGAGCAGCTGAAGGAGACCCAGAACACTCAGCAGGGCCTGTACAAATAGAGAAAAAGTAGTTCCTGTGGCAAGGCCCCTGGGGGTAGGAAATCAGCTGAGAGCAATCTCATTTAAGTGGAGTTGATGAGACACCCACTTAAGGCGTGTACTTGGAGCGGTTTTAGATGCAGGGGCTAGGAGTCCTCTGCCACGGATAATACAAACCTAGACATCTCCCTGGATGTAAGCAAACAGGCCCGCAGGAGTGGACTAGGGATAGCATGGCTAGCACAGAAGATCAGCAGAAATGGGACAGTCAAAGAAGAGATATTTGGACAGGTAATCCTAGTTGGCTGAAGGTTTTCACAGAAGGTTTTAACATAAAATCATAATCGTACTGTCAAGTATTTATGGCTGTAAACGATGTTCCGTAGAGTCAACCGGATGACAAACTATATATAGTTTATTGCAGGATATGGTTTCAGTAATTCTCTGTTAATCCCTTGGTTGCTCTGAGTTAATGACCCTCCCCCACCCACACTGTTAGATACTGTCAGCGACAGAAACGTGAACAAGTTGGATATATTCCAATCGCCCATCGCATGCAATTCGGATTCTTGTGAACAAGAAGTATAAACAGCATGCCTACAGAATATTTATTTAGTAACATATACTCCTGTGTGGATATGCTATATGACCGATCATTGTGTAAACCATCAAAAATACACCATTAAATAAAAGACTGGATTATTCGAAATTTAATATTAAAATGATAACTTTAAATCGTGATCTTTGTGCTATTTCTTGAGCCATATATTGCTATTTGGTAACATTTTATTTAACAGTTTATTTATTTATTTATTTATTTATTTAACAGTTGAGAGCCTGCATATTTAGCAATATAAAAATTGTATGAAGGGGAAAGTAGCAGAATACACGGATAGGTTTTACAGAAAACTTTTCTATAAGCTCAGGCTGCAAAAAACTGTAAAACTGATGAAAACGTGAATATATAATGAAGTTAAAAAGTCACATCATCGATGTGCATGTAGAAATGCTACTATGATGGCCACGCTATTTGTTTTAGCTGTGACTTGAGAAATGTTAAGGGTAACACATAACTGGAGGAAGGAGAGGAAGGAATCTATGGGTCCTGTCGGGTTGGGATGAAAAATGCTTACATAAGACAGAGAAAGCAAGACTTGTCAACTAACATCTTCCTTCCTTTGTTCTAGCAAAGTGAAAATTCTCAAAATGTAAATGTAGATATTCAAAATACAGGCAATAGCTTAGGTGCAAATATCCACTGTGCTTCCCCTGGAAACCACGCAGAGCACCACAGAGAGATATACATAGAATTGATATCAAACTGCATTTTTATTAAAATAAGAACACAAAAAAATACGTACAAGATCTAAAACTCCTGTAAGTGCTGTGAGAATAGGTAAGCTTATTCAGCTTACTTAGCTTAGAGTTTGAACCTACAATTTGGTGGTCTGGAAAAGTCCAACTCGTTTAATCACGTGGAAGAGAGAATCTGACAGGGTAAGTCTCCTTGCTATCAACTTAGAGAACTAAAAATAATGATTACATATTAAAAGGGTTAACAGAATATGAAACTTCCTAACTAGAGAATTTAAAGTGAGGTTTAGAATATCAAAGACAGAATGAAAGTTTTAAAAACTCCCAGAGAGACTTCCAGGGAAGTTGGCAGAGCAGGAGGACCCTGGGCTCACCTCATCCCTCGGATACAATGGCTACAAGGAGACAGCACTAACATCCGTGTAAATGACCCAGAAAATGACCTGCCGGCAGGACAGACTCCCCACAGCTAAACGTAGACCAGAGGCCACATTGAAGAGCGTAGGAAGGGCAGAGATGGAGTTGGGAACCAAACTGACCTGTGACACTGTCCATGGGAGGGAGGGACCTGTGGGCATGGAGGGAGAAGAGGAGCAGACCCCACCCCGGGCACCCCAGACATAGGGGTGCTGCGTGGGGAAGACAAATCCCCGTAACATTTGGCTTTGAAAACCAGAGGGGCCTAACTTCAAGAGTTCTTACTATCCGTGGGGCTTAACACCTGGAACTTTAAATATCAGCAGCTCGGAGAGGAAGTTGACTCCTTGCCCTTAAAGACACAGCACAACAAACGGCCCCTCTGAGACACAGCAAAAAAAAGCAGCAGTTTGAAAAACACGTGGGGTACACAGGAAGAGGCTTACTTGCTCGTCTCGGAACGCGTGCTAGAGGAGCGGGGATCTTCGGAGACTTGTCCGACAACAAAGGAGCTGGTGGGCACCATTTCCCTCCCTCGTCCCCTGGCCTAGGTACACAGACACCTGCAGGAACCGGTGCAGGGGGACACTCTCCAGCCGGCCTGCTAACAGTGTGCTCCACCCCGTGTTCTCCTGCAGACACGCCACCTCCGGCCAGGCCTCAGCTCCGGGTCCCACGCGCACCCACGCAAACCTTGCTAACGCCTCCCACCCCGCCCCTGCACCTTCTCCTGCAGACCTGCCCCCTCCAACACACCCTCGGCAGAAGCCTATCCAATGTGGGACCACAAGCACGGCAGGGTACGAACAGTTCCAACAGCGACCAGCACCACTCTGAAGTGACTCCTGCCCCAGGGAAAGGGTAGGATAACCACATGTAGGAGTTTGACTCTGGCCCCACCCAACACAGGGAATATGTCCCGTAGTCTGACGCCACCAAAGCTCTGGCAAATGCCAGGCCTGGCCCGACTTGAGCCCAGGGGGCCCCAGACTGGCCCACTAACAACACAAGGACCTTGCCCACAAGAGGCAAAGGGAGACACTGCAGACGACTGGACTGAAGGCAAAGGCGGCTGAGCCACAACGGTAGGACACACGCATCACACAAAGGAGACGCCCCTGAAGTGCCAAGTTCTAGTGAACAGAACAGAGGGCACCATAGGACTTCTTTGTAAGACCACTGCTTTCAAGAGCAAGAGACGTAGATGACTTTCCCAACACATAAAAATGGACACAGAGAGACAAAATGAGACAGGGGCAGATGTTCTAACTGAAGGGACAGGAAAAAAATTCACATCAAGAGATCTAAACAAAACAAAGGTAAGTCATATGCCTGATGGAGGATCTAAAGTAACAGTCATTAGATACTCACTGGACTTGAGAAGAGGGTGGAGGACCTCAGTGAGACCATCACAGAGAGAAAACAAAAAAAGAACCCATCAGAGATGAAGAACTCAATAACTGACATTTAAAATACACAAGAGGGGGGGCGCCTGGGTGGCGCAGTCGGTTAAGCGTCTGACTTCAGCCAGGTCACGATCTCACGGTCCGTGAGTTCGAGCCCCGCGTCAGGCTCTGGGCTGATGGCTCGGAACCTGGAGCCTGTTTCCGATTCCGTGTCTCCCTCTCTCTCTGCTCCTCCCCCATTCATGCTCTGTCTCTCTCTGTCCCAAAAATAAATAAAAAACGTTGAAAAAAAA